CCTAAAAGATTATTCTTAATATGAGTCTCTGTAGGATAGAGAGTTCAACTAGTCTAACTGAACTATATTCAAAGGTGGATGTGCCATTTTTCATCATTGGTAATTAAATCAGATTTTTTGGTTTAACATTAAACCTAAAAAGAGAGCCATGGAAACATGCTCTGTAAGACTAAGGGCGATATAAATTCAGGGCATTGTTGTTCTTCCTATTCCCATTATTATCGCTATTCCTCAGACGATCCAGCATATGCTTGGCATGGTTGATAGTATTTGCTGTGGTTTGATGGGGGCCATCATGCCACATTGCCAGACCAAAACAGACTCTTTACAGATATGCCTGACAATGTGTTCTGCTTATAATTATATTTAAGTGGTTTTAGCTGGACCATTACCTCATTCTTTGCTCGGCCCTGTACTGTCTTCCAACCTCTCTGTTCTACGCACTCTTGACTCATCAATCAGGGAGCTATGTGCATACATATGTAGCTTGTGTTACACTGGGCTGCATATGGGTTAAGAATCATTCTCAAATCATTTCAAAGCGCACTTGAGTCCTTGCTGGTAAGCATTACTTCTTATATCACTTCTAGAGGTCTGCTTCCTGAGCCTAATGCCAGCCATGCCATCAGAATAAATGCTTATTTATAGGTGGATAAATGTCTCAGGAAACCAAGTAAATCCTGCTTTTACCCACATGGATGCTTTTATTTTTCTGTCCAGAGACAATATGTGTTGTCTCAGTGGGCTTTATAACAAAGCAAAGCAAAGCAATTGTCAATACAAAGGTATATGACATAATATGCCCTTTGGGGATGACATACTTTTCAAGAAATCCTGGCCCTTGGCTCATGCTGAGGTTGGAGTTTTCTAAACTGTACTAAAATTAGTTTTCCTTATGTCAGAGTAAAAGGAGTCAGGGGTAGCATGAGTAAATTAAATCTCCAAATAATGGAGAAGGAAATAATTTTAGTCCCAAATCCCTACACTCCTCCTAATATTTCAGGCAAGCCATTACAAACAGTAACACTACAGGGATGGAGTTTTACTTTCTTCTCTCCCTAATAGTATCTGATGGAATTCCTAATGAGAAAAGAAATATAACCTCATCCTTAGTCTCTAAACACTCACATTCTAAACAGGATAGTAGGCTACCAAGAATCAACTCCTTCATATTCCTTTTTTACACAACATTTCCCTAAAATAAGCAAAGACACCTGGCAGCATCCATTCCCATGGATATTTGGATAGTGGCGATAGAAGGTATTATCTTAAGCACAGAGCATGCTGTCCCTACAAGTCAGAGGTCTTAGATGATGGCTTACTGTCTTTGGGAAATACAATCATCACACATGGGTTGCTCCCAGAGGAGATGACCTAGGCATACTGGTTTTCTGTGGGGGTGAACAGCAGTGGTCTGTGCTGCCCAGTTCCTGGCTTTGTATCTCAGGCCACAGGACCACTCTTTTCCTGGTTAGCTATCTTTTAAAAGTTTACCACTCCTCTTCCACCTGACATCTATTAGTATTAATGAGGATGTGGAGAATTTGAAACCCTTGCACACTTTGGCGGGGGATGTAAAAACGTGCTGCTACTATGGAAAACAGTATGGTGGTTCCTTAAAAAATTAAAAGCAGGATTAACATATGATCTTAGAATATTCGCCCCCAAATTGAGTGCAGGGTCTTGAGGAGATACTTGTACATGCATATTGATAGCAGCATTATTTATAAGAGCCAAGAGGTGGAAGCAACCTAAGTATCCATAGACAAACGGGGAGATAAAAAATATTTGGTATATAAATGCAAAGGAATATTATGCAGCCCTAAAAAGGAAGGAAATTCCGACACATGCTACAACATAGATAAACCTTGAGGATATTAAGTGAAGTAAAAAGCCAGTCATATATTATATGATTAACTTATTTGAGGTATCTAGAACAGGCAGATTCACAGAGACAGAATGTAGAATGGTGGTTGCCAGGGGCTGAAGAGGGAGAGGAAAGGAGGTTTTTTGTTTTGTTTTGTTTTTAAAGATTTTATTTATTTATTTGACAGAGACACAGCAAGAGAGGGGACACAGGCAAGGAGGGTAGAAGAGGGAGAAGTAGACTCCCTACTAAGCAGGGAGCCCAATGTGAGGCTCGGTCCCAGGACTCCGGGATCATGACCTGAGCTGAAGACAGGAGCTTAATGACTGAGCTACCCAGGCACCCCAGAATGGAGAGTTTTATTTAATGAGTATAGGGTTTCAGTTTTCCAGGATGAAAAGAGTTCTGGAAATGGATGGTAGCAATGGTCACAAATAATACGAGTAGACTTAATGCTACAGAACTATATCCTTAAAAATGGTTAATGTGATCATTTTTATGTTATCTATATTTTACTATATGCTGAAAAAAAAAAAGAAGAAAAAACATTCAGAAGAGTTTACTACTCATCTGAAGTAGACCTAACGAAGTCAAGGCAGTGTGACTGGTTGGTCTACAAAGTCAGCAAACATGACATGTATATTACCAATTCTCCCTTCTTTATGCCCATACAAACATTATCAATTAATCGTTCCCAAGTTCTTTCCTTCTGAGCCCAGATGCAACATCATAATCTTTCTCAACATAGGTTACTACATCAAAAGATTAGTGTTGATATGTCAGTTATTTTGATGTAGGAGAAAAATGTGATGGTTTATGAAGTCTATGCTAGAGGGGAAAAAATACAATAATATAAAGCTTTACAAGATTGGAAAAATCAACATGAACTTGATATATTAAGAAAAAAATTACTTTTCCTGTCTCAAGAAAGTCCCGATAATTGAACTAGAAGTAGTACTTTTGGTCTATATTACTACTCATTTGAACCATTTAAGCCAGGTTCAGGTCTCTATATTTTCTACAGAAAAGAACTAGAACTATTTGAAGAGGAATTGATTTTAGGTCTTGGGATGAGAAAGTTCAGTGAGTCAAGAATATCCTTTTGTTGCCAGAGAGCAAAGATCCTTTAAAAACTACCAGGCACACTGGTTGCGATGAGCCCTGGGTGTTGTATGTAAGTGATGAATCACTGAATTCTGCTCCTGAAACCAATATTGCACTATATGTTAACTAACTAGAATTTAAATAAACCCTTGGAACATAAAAAACAAAACAAACAAAAAACTACCGGGCACAGTGTTAAAAGGATAAAGGAGGATCAGGGGCTCCTGCTCCCAAGCTACACCAATTCAAGCATAAAATCATCTTCATTATCATCAACAACATCATCATCCATGGAGGAGAACATCCTACATAAATGGAAAAGGTTGATATTAAGTCTTAACAAAGGTAGTTGTGATATAAATGGAAAGTAGTTTGTAATTGTTTTTGCTGTTAAGATGTTAGAAGATATTAAATACATAATTGGTTTGCTTTTTTTCGATTTAATATACAGACTCTGTTAAGCAGGATCTATTATCAAGTAGGAATGTGAACTTGTTTCTGTCTGTATGAACAGAAGAGACTAGGAACCTGTGAGTAGGCCAAGCAGTCCCTTCAAAAGTAAGAGCTATACCATGAACGCAATCAGCTTTCGTGGTATCATATCAGCCAGAAAGGAAAAGCCAAGTCCATCCGTTCATTGACACTAAGGATTATACATAATAAGTAATGACAAGAGAGCCCAGTGGTGTCTTTTCAGATGATAGATGAGCTGAATGTCACACCTCCTTTGCCCCCGAGAGAAAGAGCACTAACCCACTCCCCCAGTTTCTATGGAATAAAACCTCCAGATGACCCTACTAATAAGACACTGATAAGATATAGGTAACATTCTAATTATACCATAAGGGTCAAATATACCATAATGACAGAAAAATAAGGTAGGTTAAGCCATCTGTTCACAACTTTGAGTTAAGACACGGAGTTTCGGAAGAAGAATACCTATCTGAGGGCTAGGTACATTTTCCATGATGTAACTAGCCCACGGCATAAAAGGGTTTTGAAGCACTGGACTGTGCAACCAGATCCCACATCCTGACCTGAAATCGAAGGGTTAGCAACTTAGAACTTGCATGCTCATAGGGCCTTTTTCTTTTTTCTTTCTCCCCCCCACCTCCCCCCCCCACCCCCCACAGGGTCTCTTCTTCAATATTGTAGTAAAATCTCTAAAATCCTAGGAAAAAGTAAATTTTATATCACATAGACCTTCTAAGGCACAGTAGAAATTGGACCACAGGAATCTTTAAGAATAAGGATAAAAACATAAGTTTTGTAATTATTGGGCTAGTTTAATGTGTGCTTTTGTGCATTTTAAGGTATTCAAGTTATAAGGAAATTTGATATACTGGATTTGTGATCTTTATTTTTTTATTATTTATTTATTTTTTTAAAAGATTTTATTTCTTTTATTTGACAGAGATTACAAGTAGGCAGAGAGGCAGGCAGAGAGAGAGAGGAGGAAGCAGGCTCCCTGCTGAGCAGAGAGTCTGATGTGGGGCTCGATCCCAGGACCCTGGGATCATGACCTGAGCCGAAAGCAGAGGCTTTAACCCACTGAGCCACCCAGGTGCCCCAGATTTGTGATTTTTAATCAGGTCCTTAAGACTGCTCATCTCATTTCAATCACTATAGATGATTAAGGGAATATGCTTTGTTAAATCCATAAATATTGATGACTTTCTTGAATAAGTAGCATATGATTATTTAGAGGAATGTTAATTATGTCAAAAAAGGTGTTTAATAAATTATAAATTAGACCTTAAATGATGCACAAATGGTCATAAGTATTCCTCTCCAAGTACAAAAGTCCATTGGACAGTAAAGACCATCAGAAGACAGAACAAATTTGCCATTCTAGGAGACTCAAGACCATTAAAAAAGATTGTTATTCTAGTAAAGATACCATGTGTTGAATCTTTTCTATACAGATGGTGCTGATTTAGTTGGGGCTTGCATTTTTGATCAGCCTGGGTGTCATGACAATTTTTGCTCCTCCAATTTCATTGCCAACTTAGAGCTGTTAATTCCATACCTTTTGGCTCATCTGTCTTTCCTCTTGGGTTATCATCTTTCGTGGAATCTTTCAATGTTCCATATTCTTTTTCCATCTTAGCTGCTTCTTCCTTGGTGCTATCTGTTTCTTCATGACTCTTTTCTGATGGTGCTGTAATCAGATTGTGCACTGTTGTTATTACCCTATTTCCTATCTATTAATTAATTCATAATGTAGAAATAAACTTTATTGTAAAGGTACTGCTTAAGGTCAGATCATTTTTCGAGCTGAAAGGGACCTTAGTGATTATCTTGTCCAACTTCCTCTTCCACCCACCCTTTCACAGAAGAGGGAACTGAGGCCCAGAATAGGAAGAGATGAGCACTGAGTGAGCAAAAGAGCTGGGGCAAAGGCTCACCTTTCCAGGTTTTGGTTTAGTGCTCTTTCCCTTCTGCTACTGTGTCATTAGAGCATAGACTATTTTCCTTACTATAATCAATGTAGGCAATCAAGTAGGACATGCCGGGTCCCAAAGTAAATCTGAATCTTCATTCCAAAGTAAAGTAACTCTTTAGTTGTTTAATCTCTCCATGATGTTGTACTGTTGAAGAACACTATAATTTGGAGTAGCACCTAAGAATTTGGGGCTCTGGCAAGACTTCCTTCTGCCTCTTTCTTCATATTCCCTTATCCCTGGCCTCCCTAATACAAAGAAGAGAACTGAACCCTTGCTGTCAGAATGGAAGCTGTTCACTTGCCACTTAAAAATAACTAACTTCTGTATCAGTTATACTTCGAAAAAAAAAAGTGAGGGGACAAGAGTGGGGAAAAAAATCTATTTCCTTCTAGCAGTCTTCTATTGAATTAAAAATGTCACACACCTTGTAGTAGCTAACCTCTTGAAAACGTTGTAATGCATCCCTGTTGTAAATAAAATAGGAAATGTCAAGCAGCCTAACCATAAGGTTTGTTTTTTCAATAAAAGGGTTATTACTATAGAAAAAAAGAGGAAAGAAGAAAGAAGTCAGTTGTTACATCATTATGAAAACATCTGCTTCTAGTGCCGTGGTCTGTATATATTTTTTGATGTGTAATTTCTTTTCATAGTTGCAGTACAATTTTGTTCCTTGCTTTTGTCGTTGACATCATGATAGAAAGATGTTTCCAGGGTATAAGAAACTACTTGGAAACATCATTTTAAAAAGCCGCATAATATTCCATCAAATGTATGTACCTAACTTCTGTGATAGGGACACCAAAGAACGTGTGATCTTTTCTCTTTTTGTTCCTCCTGCCTCCTTCAGAGCAGGCTCCTTTGTACCACTTGGTTCCAGGATGTGATGGGTGGAGATGCAGGAGGAGAAAAACCAAGAGGAGGGGGTAAATCACACTACCTAGGGGCACAGACTTTCTCAGAGGAGAGGAAGTCTTGGGAGGGGAGAACCAGTGGAGGCACAGCAGAGTAGACCGATGATCAGAGAGAGGGTTCTGGAGAAATGGTGATCTTGGGAGAGAAAAAAAATGCCTGAAGGAAAATTTCAGGAAGAATGACTCAGTTTTGTGATATACAGTTATCCCCCTATCCCACCAGCCTCCTGTTAAGAATCTTCAGGGAAGACCTGCTTTTCTTTTCAGTGCTCCTTGGGATCAGATATCTATGCGGAGACCAGCCACAGAATAGCAAAATTTATAGCTACTTAATCCTATGCTTGGATTTCAGACTTTAAAAGTTCTGAAATTTATAATTGTTGATCAATGTTTATTGAAATCATTATTTACATGAAGGATGATTGTGCTAAAGGTAGAAACATAGTGAAATAAATCATACCTGGGAAAAGTTTGCTTTTATTGTCAGTAACATTTTTTTCTAGCTTGTTCTTGGTCTGAAGAGCAATAGTTTCATCCAAGTTTTCTGGAGGGAGGAAGGGAAGGAATAAGAAATATAATTTTAGGGGCGCCTAGGTGGCTCAGTGGGTTAAGCCGCTGTCTTCGGCTCAGGTCATGATCTCAGGGTCCTGGGATCGAGTCCTGCATCGGGCTCTCTGCTCAGCGGGGAGCCTGCTTCCCTCTCTCTCTCTCTGCCTGCCTCTCTGCCTACTTGTGATCTCTCTCTGTCAAATAAATAAAATCTTAAAAAAAAAGAAATATAATTTTATTTCCTGAAAGATGATATCAAACTTCTACTAAAACTGTTTAAACCTCACCAGACAGATCATAAAACCATTCCACAATATTAACACTGTGGTTAAGATGTTTGGCATGGATCTTATTTCTAGGAATCTATTATTTTGTATTATTCGGGATCCTTAACTCAGCGTCCTATTCAGTTAATTGCAGAAGTCTCTTCCCGTCTCTGGGGCCACTGCTAGAACATGTCTGGGATTAAAGCCTTTAATGGACACCTGTGATAACTACACCTTGATTTTCTTTTAGAAAACCCAGACCAGGGTCGCCTGGGTGGCTCAGTGGGTTAAGCCGCTGCCTTCGGCTCGGGTCATGATCTCAGGGTCTTGGGATCGAGTCCCCGCACTGCTCAGCAGGGAGCCTGCTTCTCCCAATCTCTCTCTGCCTGCCTCTCTGCCTACTTGTGATCTCTCTCTGTCAAATAAATAAATAAAATCTTAAAAAAAAAACACAAAACCCAGACCAGGGGCGCCTGGGTGGCTCAGTCGTTAAGGGTCTGCCTTCGGCTCAGGTCGTGATCTGATCAGTGTCCTGGGATCAAGCCTTGCATCAGGCTCCCTGCTCCATGGGAAACCTCCTCCCTCTTCTACTCCCCCTGCTGTGTTCCTGCTCTTGCTCTCTCTCTCTCTCTCTGTGTCAAATAAATAAATAAAAATCTTAAAAAAAGGGGGGAAAAAAGACCATTCTCATTCTCAGCACATTTGGCTCGGGCGGGGCTAATAATCCAGGCCTGGTTCCTCAGGGTCTCGACTGCCCTGAGCTGAGTGATTGGTTCAAAGATGAGCCCGATGCAAGCCAAGACCATGAGATTCAATTCTAGGACCACAGGGAAAGACGATCTTTTCCTGCCAAGTTTGCTGTGCTGTGAGGGTGGAGGTTACCAGCCATTTTTTTCCTATAACAGGGCAGCTTCTCTGGAATGAATCAACACCTGGAAAGTCAGTGATGGGACAAGGGGAGGGATAGATTCCTCACACTACTGGTGGACTTTACAAACCCAATGTCAGACCATCCCTGCCCCTGGACTCCTCAGTTACATGAGGAAATGAATTCCCTTTCCACTACTGTACTGGATAGCACAGCTATGAACAGGAGTGGAAATACCTACCTTTCCCCTAGGACTTGTGGCATTTCTAGTCTATTTCCATTGGGTAAACGACAAGTGTGGAATTTGAGTCACAGGGTATTGGTATGAAATAGTGATTGATCTGAAACAATGCCTTTGATCATACTGAGTAAAGTAGGCCTCAAAGGATTATGTATAATATGAGCCTATTTTTTTGTTAAACAAGATAAAACAAAGAAAGAAAGAACCATGGTATATATGTGTGCAAACACAGACAATCATCTGGAAGGATATAAACCACAATGTCACCTGGGTGCCAGTACTATGAGTGATTTTTTTACTTTTTCTTCTTCTTCTTCTCTTTTTTTTTTAAAGACTTTATTTATTCATTTATTTGTCAGAGAGAAAGAGAGAGCTAGCACAAGCAGGGAGAGCAGCAGGCAGATGGAGAAGCAGGCTCCCAACTGAACAGAGAGCCCCATGCGGGACTGGATCCCAGGACCCTGGGAGGATGACCTGAGCCGAAGGCAGATATTTAACTGACTGAGCCACCCAGTTGCCCCTTTGTACTTCATTTTAACATCATTTTGCATTCACTGATTTTTTAAAAATAAATATGTTCCTTCACAATCAGGACAAAACCACAAAATTATTTTCATGTGGAAAATAATGGAGTTCATAGAGAGTAATTCTGGATCATTCTATCCTATGAGATTTTTCTCTACTTCTTCTTTTTTTTTTTTTTAAGATTTTATTTATTTGACAGAGAAAGAGATCACAAGTAGGCAGAGAGGGGGAAGCAGGCTCCCTGCTGAGCAGAGAGCCCGATGCAAGGCTTGATCCCAGAACCCTGAGATCGTGACCTGAGCCAAAGGCAGAGGCTTAACCCACTGAGCCACCCATGTGCCCCAAGATTTTTCTCTTCTAATTCTTCCTCCTCTCTTAAAGATCAGAGTAAGGGGTCATGAGGTCATCTTGCTCAAAGGACATCAGAGATAAATGGTATTTGTTGATTAACTAAACCAAGCAGGAAAACCAAAGGCTTTTTTTTTTTTCTTTAAACAACCCACATGCACAGAGAACGTTCAAGCTTATTACAAAGTTCAAGGAATCAAAGTTCAGCTAACTTTTTTGGTAAAGGGCCAGGTAGTAAATACTTTGTGGACCATCTGTGGTCTGTGTTGGAATGACTCAATTCTGACGTTGTGGCACAGAAGGGGCTAGACACAGCATTGAAACAAATGAGTGTGTCTGTGTGCCAATAAAGCCTCATGTATGGGCAGTGCCACGTGAACTGTATATACTTCTCTTGTGTCACAAAATACAACTCTTCTTTGCATTTTTTTTCAACCATTTAAAAGTATAAAAGCAACTCTTAGTTGTGTGATATACAAAAATAGGCAATGGGTCAAATTTGGTTCCATGGCTGTAGTTCGCCAGCCCTATCACTGATCACACAGTCCTTTATTTTACAGATGCAGAAATTAAGGTCAAGCAAGGTGAGTGCTTGGGACATCCCATGGGACCAAGGTGGTCTTTGGCAGAGCCAGACCAGGGAGCATCACTTCTGCAGCTCAGTCCCGGTCTCTTTCCTTCCTACCACACGCAGACCTCACTGCTTAAAATCAACTATTTTAGTCCTGACCGTGCAAACACAATTGAAAAAAACAAAAGGAGGGGTTGAATTTTAATAAAATTGTCTCCATGGAGATATTTGGAAAATGTTAATAAGACAAAATGTAATAAATGTGAAATGTTTGCCCTCAAGCCGTATCTAGAAAGAGTTGAAAATTTCTGGTTAATTTTATTTCTGTGCATTATCAAGCTGGTCAATTCCGGTTACTCAGATGTTTCAGGCTATTTTGGTATAAATGATCAGGTTTGTGACGTAATTATTGCTTAAATCCCTAATTCACTTTGGACAATGAAAACTGTTACAGTGAAAACAAAACAGATAAGACTCTCACCAAGATAGGAAACACCTTCTTCTGGAGATATTGTGCCATACTTTACCATCATCTTCACAAAGTCAATCAATGTCTTCATGATAGTAATCAGTGTTTCTTTCTCTTTTGCCTCTTTTTCTATATAAAAGAACAAAATAATTAAAAAAAAACTAGTGGAATATAGCTTCCTCTTTCAGTGTCAGTTTATGAAGTAGGCATCTTATTGAAATATTTCTCCCTACACTTATAGCTGAAACCACATATATTTAATTTACAGAAAGGCTAAGATTTGATTCAGAATACAGGATAATGAACTTTTCCAGAAATGGGCAATCAATTATAACTTCTCCAAAAAGATTTACTTTAATCTAAAATACTTTATTAATAGAGTAGATGATAAAGAGGCAGTTTACAACCTGAGGTAATAGGAACTCAAAAACAAAGTTAGAAAATTTGTGACCCAACAATTTTTCTTTATTCAGGCTGTATGTTTTTGAGGGCAAGAATGACCTGTTTTCATTAGTCAAATAATATTTGAAAATAAAAACACATGTGTATCTTTATTTTTTATAATGTAGGGTTGATCTTTTAATATTAATAGTAATATATATTGCTTTCTAAACTTTATTTTACTTGAAAGAATATATGCATGTAGTAAAAATATTCTGACAGTACAGAAGTAAATAGTAGTGAAAATAATATTTTCTTCCTACCCACCCCCCAACTCTTCTTCCCTGTAGGTAACCACTTTCTTGGAAACTCTTCATAATTTGACATACTGTCCTGCATCTTGATGGAAGACAATAGTTTATAATTCCATAGTCATTATATATATATATATATATATATATATATATATATATATGTTCTAAAATTTAAAAAAAAATTATTTCTGTTTTTTGAAGAAAGGTGCTAGAGGAGAGCCCATTTTCCCTATTCTCTTGGCTGCCATGAAGGCTGTCTTCTAAATACTCCTGGCCTTTCCCCCACCATCTTTTCATCCTTGCTATAGATGGGGTTGGTAGGCAATGGCCAATAGTCTTTATTTTTTGACTGATAGGGATTTAGAATCTTTCTTCTTTTTCCTCCCCTGGAACAGTGGAAGGCAAAGATCTGAAACAAGTACCTGCTCTGTAGAATCCAAGGATCCTTGTTATTGGCTATTCCAAGAACTAGACTGAGGACAGGGTGTGAGCAGGCCTATTGTTGGATCTCACACTAAGCTGCATTCTACAACCCTGACAACCCAGACTTTATCAGTTATCAGAAATATTTTGGTTTTCTACCCATTTTATTATTTCTCAGTTGGTTCAGACTTTGGGTGAGAAAGATGGGTATTGTCAAAGACCTTAGTGTAAGGATTTAAATTAAAATTCTATTAAAAAAAAAAGGAGATTAAGAATGGGTGGGGGTCAAGGAAATTGAAAGATAAGTAAAATAAAAACATTCCATACAGTGGAATCTTTCAAATACCACGAAAGTTCCAAAGTTGGGAGAGAAGAAGTGTGAGAGAGGAAATGAGGAAGAGATCCCAGAAAAGCGATGGTAAATAACTTCAGCTGTCACAGTTTGTTCAAGGTCACATCTGTAAAGTTATCTGGTGTCATGCTAATGTTCTTCCCTGACAAGAAGTGACTCACTAAGATGACAAAGGTTCTGAGCTGGGCATTTGCCATCCAATGGGGCAAGATGGCTGAGAATGGACACTCAAGATGTACCAGCCCTGTAAGCACCAGCAAAGGGGATGGTGCCATCTGGCCAGTGTCTGGAATTGAAGGACAATAGATGTTCTCCAGAAATGAAAGCTCACTCTAAGGTCCCTTCTTGGGGAAATATTTATTACAAATGTTCAATCCAGGGCTGAATCTTTGAACAGAGAGAGGAAAAGCCATAAAGCAGTGCAGATCACCTGTCCGAACAATAATAACAATAGAAAATTTGCTCATTATTATCTTCCTTGAAGATTAATCAAAACTAAACATGAATTGAAATCTTCAGCTAACCTATTCTGATGTACATGTAAGAGAAAAGACACATTGAGGACTTTGTTTTTAACAAAACAAATCATTTGCCAAGTGTGTTTTGGGCTCCTGACTTGCTGTGGTCCAATGTTAAGTTCATTTGATTTCATTTCAAGACTGAAGCTGAAAATGTCTAAAAAGCAAAAATCTGAATTATTTTTAAAAGGATTAAATTATGTTATACACACTGTTCCCACCAAGAGAGGAAAATGAATACAGCTTTAAAAAAAAAAAAAAGATTTGCAATAAGATTTGAGGCTGAGCAAGTCAGGCAGTGACATTGATTTCTCTCCTCATCTGCGCAGGGCTTACTTACCTCAGCGTCCCAAACACCACACATGTCCAGTGACTGTTTTTTGAACAAATAAGTGGACCCTCTGTTAACAAGAAGATTGAATTATCCAGAAACTCCACCTTTCCTGATTATCCTTTCCTAAATATTTTCATAACTAGTATTCTTTTTTTGAAAAAATTGATGTGAACTCTTTTCCCCAAGGCCATAATATATGTCATTGAAGACTGCATTTAGCTGAAAACAGGAAGAAAAAGCCCCACCCATACACTTCCTGGAATTACTGTTTCTATTCCGCATGGTCAGAAAACACAGTGTTTACCTGAATCAATACTTTTCAGTAGTGCATAGAAGTTTGGGAAATATTGGAGTTCCTCAAAGTTGTCTTCATTGTAGATTTTAGTTCTCCTTTCCAAGCCATTTGTCAAGGTTAAGGTATTAGATACTGTTTCATCATTTTGTCCATTAGTAAAACCATCTTGAATTGTTGCCATTGGAGTCTCCATTGTGGGGGAGGGGGGTCAATAAAAAATAAACATTTTGTTAGAACTAACTACATTCCATCTTGATTCTTTCCTCTTTGGTGTCCTTGAATGTGAAGTGTAGGAATACCTCCTCCTTTGCAAGCTCCTGCAGGATCAAACCCTTTTCCAGGCATGTGGGCATCTAGCCACATGGAAAGGTCACTGGGGCTAAGAGACATATGCTTCACCTGAGAACCCTGGCTCCTGCTCCTGGAGAATAGACAGGGAATTTCTAGGTTCCTACCTGGCCAAGTTCCCCCTCTGTCAGTTCTCATGAGTGTCTCCTCCTAAAAGTGCCTTTTACCAAGGAGGGGAGCTTTGAAGTCATAGACTTGATGACAGGATACAGGAAAGCCTGTCAGAATATCCAATGCCATCAGAACAGTCATACCATGGGGACTGCTCAGGGAAATTTTAAGGGCTATCTGGAAAGGTACATGGGACTCTTTCTCCCAGACCTGATCCATTTCCAGTGTTTTGCATCTTAGTTAATGATCCATTGTCCATTCAGTAGACTAGACAGAAATTTAAGAGCCTTTCTTGTCTCTTCCTCTTCATTTCCTTCATCTAATCCATCAGTAGCCTTGTTAGCCCTACTTTCAAAATCTATCCCAAATTTGTACATTTCTCTTTTTCTCCATTACCTGGCTCTAGTCCAGATACTTTCATCTCTTACTTTCTAACTGGTACATCAACTATTTCTAATCTATTCCCAACACTGCATTTTCTGTGTTGTAGCCAGAGTTATCTTTTTAGAAATATGATCATGTAACTCCTTTGCTTAAAATCATCCAGTGTTTTCCCAATGGTCCTACAATAAAGATCAGAATCCACAGTCTTGCCTGGTCTGCCTTGGGTCCACATCCCCAGGCTCATCTCTCATTGCTCTCTCTGTTTGTCAGCCACCTTGCCCTTGTAGCAGCTACTTGGATACTCCACACATTCTTTACTACATTCTACCTCTCATATCCACAAGTTAACTCCCATTCAGCCTTCAGTTTTGGCTTAAGTCACTTCCCTGAGCCCAAGTCCAGTACAGGTTCCTTTTTAACAAGGTCTCATAGAACCATGTTTCTCTCCTCAAAGCACTTAAGACAGTTGTAGTTAAAATACGTGACTATTTGTGAAGAAAACCATCTACTTTTTCCATTAGACCTTAAGCTTCATGAGAGCAAGGATTCTATCTTTTTAAATGAGCATTACATCCCCAGTGCTTGGTTCATAATTGGTACCTCAATAAATATGTACTGAATGAATATTTCATTTGCATTAATGCATTTAGATGACAGTGAACAGGTCCAAGCATATGGGTGTTTTAGAGATGGGTGAATAAGGAGTACAAAATGGGAGTGAGAGATCAGGAAAATACAGTAGTTATGTCACTTTCAGTTCAGATGGTTAGCTTGAGTGAATGTCATGGATTCTTTGATAAATCAAGAATGTTATGGGTAAAAAAAAAATGTTATGGGTAGATCTTTAAAATCTGTTTTAGGGGCGCCTGGGTGGCTCAGTGGGTTAAGCCTCTGCCTTCGGCGCAGGTCATGATCCCAGGGTTCTGGGATCGAGGCCCGCATCAGACTCTCTGCTCAGCAGGGAGCCTGCTTCCCCTTCTATCTCTCTGTCTTCCTCTCTGCATACTTGTGATCTCTGTCTGTCAAATAAATAAATAAAATCTTTAAAAAAAATCTGTTTAAAAAAAATGGAAGCTGGTGGAGATGGGAAGTAGGGAGACCAAAAGGGAGCTGTTATGCTATCTAGTAAAAGAAAAACCCAGACCCAGTTTCTGTTTTCTAGCCTCCTCTAAAACAGGACGATGGGCCTATATACTCTTTTTCCTTGTATTTGGGATACAGCATTGGAGGGGATGAGGAGCCATGGGGTCTGGGTACTCTGGTGGAGAAGTAAAGGAGAGGTGAAGAGTTTGATATTTTCTTATATCCCTCTGTGGTCAGCTCTGTCTAGAGTTTTATAGGGAATTCAAAGTGGGAGGAAGATTTTAGTAGCGTGGTGATGCCAAAGAAAAGGTGAAGAGGCATCGAGCCAGGAAGGGGAAGGAAGGGGGAATGACTAGTCCAAGTAAAGGATGGTTGCAGGCCTCTGAACCAATGCGAAGAGGAAGGAACAGGTGGAAGGGCTCAGGATATAACAGAGAGGGAGCTTCAGGGAACTAGCTCTGGGAACACAGGCTGGTGTGGCAGAGGATCAAATCAACCCGAATTTCTTTTTTTGGGTTCTGGAGGCAGATGATGACATTCTGTGAGCAGAAGTTGTATACTGAAAGAGCTGTGAAATATTTGGTTCCAGTCCACTGACATTATACAAGCAGTTGTTATGTGGAATGGTTATGACATTTCCACCTAACATTATGGGTTAATTTACTGGGGAGTATAAGATGTAACCTTTACTGTGTAATATAATATAACCCGTATCTTCATTTTCAACTGAGAGTTGGTTTATATCTTTTAACTTACTGGTATTTCATGAGTATATATTTTAAGTGGGTTCAACGTGTCACATATCCCAAATCTTCTTTGGCATCAAGTAAGATATTAATTATTTACAGATTGTATTAATTATATACAAATACAAGTACACACAGATGCACATCCATGCATATGCATATGCACACACTCATAACATGCATATGAAGTCATATATACATACCACTTTCTCTGGTATTTTTCCAGCCTGACTTTCAGTCACGCTTGTCGGTTTATTGGGTTCCTCCTCATAAGTGTTGGCTTCCTTTGAGATCAATTTCTGTAAAACCTCTGCTACTTCATCTTCTAGTGTGTGTGCCTGGCTTTCTGTGATCTGTTATAAAGAGTGAAAACATATATAACTGCTATTCTAATACTTGTGATTGAAAAATCTAGACTAAACTCTAATCAAATACATTTTTTAGTAGATGAGAGAATCTTGTGGTCCCTCTTTCTAGATAACCTTTGTTTATGCCTCTATTAGTTGCTGGCCATTCTAGTGACTGCCCCAGCCCTCCTAGGAAACAGTGCCTTTGGGCGGTACAAATAATCAGGCCTATCTTTGGGAATCCATGGAACATTTATTTTGAGAAACACCTTGAGGGTTATTTTCTCTCTCTCTCTCTCTTCTCTTTTTAAAAGATTTTATAAATTTAATTGAGAGAGATAGTGAGAGAGAGCACGAGCAGAGGGAGAGAGGGTGAAGCAAGCTCCTTGCCGAGCTGGGAACCCAACATGGGACTTGAACCCAGAACCCTGGGATCATGACCTGAGCCAAAGGCAGACGCTCAACCATCGGAGCCACCCAGGTGCCCCTCAAGCATTTTTTCTCAACCCTCAGCTGCAGGTCATAGCAGGTAGCCTCTGAAACAGACAAATTTAGCCCCCTGCTATGGCCTGACAGAGCTGTACAAGGTCTGGGAATCAGGCTGAGGGATGACCTAATTAAATTGCTTAGAGTTTCCCAAATGTTGCTTGTCTTTGCTCCTGTTAGTCTCTTGTCACAACTCACATATCTTTTTCTGCTGTTCATTAAATCCTAACCATCCTTTAAGCTGACTTCAAACACCTCCTTCTCTGAAGCTCTTCCTTATTGCCCAACTGCACATAACCCATCCTCTGGCATGCTGGACTGCTTTTACGGTTCTGATGCAGCTTGCATGGTGGGCATGTGTATATTTGTGCAGTTCCTCTGGTAGACTATAAGTTCCTAGAAGATTGTTGTCTTATTTGTCCTCACAACCTATCGTGCTTAATATAAAGTAGAGATATTAGAAACATTCAGCTACAACTTGGACCATGTAGCTTGGCTTCTTAGCAAATTCCAAACTGTACTAAGAAATGGGTTTATTTGTATGCAGGACTTACGAGGCCAAGATTCAGTAGTTTAGAAACAATCTTATCAAATACTCCTCTGTCATTTTCTTCATAAATCCTGGTAGCAATTTTCTGGACGATGTCTTCAGCAGTTAAAGGAGTTCCATCTAGTTGATGAAGGCCGTCTGGATCATCTAGAGGGCGTAACCACAATTCCACATCATAGCTATCATAGGCCTAGTTCATGGATTGTATGACACTTACAATCCATACCTTGCTCTTGTACACTCCGGTATGATTGGAATGCATTCATGATGTTGTTTGGTCCACATAAGCCCTTGGTTAGAAATAAAATTTTACTTCTAGGTAAATTTTTACTTCTAGGTGAGATGCTAAGATGGCAATGGAAATTCTGAAAGCTTCTTATGTGATTTTAAGTGAAAAGAAGATCTGAGAACAACACAAAAAGCCTCTCCATTTTTCATTCTCACTAATAATACAAACAAGGTTGTATTTTTAAATTTTACAGTGGGCCATATGTATGTAGCATGCCATATTGTCCAAAACATCCTTCTATATACTATGTAATTTGATATTCCATTTCCATACAAAGAGTAGACTGGTAATATCTGCACGCGTATTTCTTCCACTGGCAAGTTCCTGGCCTGAGGGTGGGGGAACCTGCCTCACACTCGGAATCAGAGAGGGTGTGCTGAAGATTTGATGACTTATCTGGGATAAATATTTACTTCTAAATGAATGTGTGTCTGAACTCCTTTATGGAAGACAGCTTAATGTAATAAGCCCCTTTCTCTAGAGAACAGAGATATTTAAACTTTTAAAATGAGACAACCGATTTGTGCAAAGCAGTATGTAAATCAATGTAAATCTCTGCAGAGATGCTTGCAAATATGTGTCGTTGGCTTTCCTGGGAATACATTTGGCAGCACTACTTCAGAGGAAACAAGAGCCCATCCTGAGGGAAAGGCACAGTCGTGTTCGTGGCAAGGAAACACAGCACCATGTCCAAGACAACTCTCAGGAAACAGCTGGTCTTTTCTAACTGAGAGCACAACGAGCAATATTAGTATGTGCAAGTTTACAAGGCACTTAACTCTTCCTGTCACCTCTAGATGGATTAGCAGATCAGCATTTTAGCCCACCATACCACTTGTTATCTATATTTCCTTGGACCACTATAAAGGGAGATCATAGGATTATCTGTTTCATGGACTTATTATGAAGCTCAGATAGAATAAGATGTAAATGTACCTCTTAAACTGCAAAGTACTCTATGAAAGCTGGTGTGCAGTATCATGTGAAAGCTAAAAAATTATTATATGTTGTAGATTTGTACTAACTGTGATTATCTTCTAGAGAAAATGGAAATTAAATCTCTGGTCAAATTCTGCCTAAATAATTCTGATCATATTTACTCAAAGAAAGAAGAGCCTCATATTTCTGTTTTTATTCTGTCCTTTTTCTTCCATGACTTTGAGGATTCAAACAAGAAATTTCTCTCCCAACCTTCCTTTCAGAGTCCATACAGCTGAAGGGATATGCCGTCTTGGGCTGAATATTTTCTTGTTGTTTGAAGAAAAGCTTAGGAAACTGAATAGAATGATTATACATGGAGGACTAGAAGCTTCCTGACAGTATATTATTGCTGAGCTGTTGACCAAGCCATTAGCTATGAGCTCTGGGACCCCCTGTGTATCAGAGTGACTAATAAACAGAAGACACCCTAAGAAAAAAAACCATACAACCAGTTTCCCTCCTGACTGACTGAAAATTGGGTTCTTTGTCCATGTGTTTCAGGAGCAGAGACTCATTGTTATTTAGGTCTGATTCTTCCATTTGTGGGTTGCAAGACAGACTCTCGGGAGCATGTGGAGCAGAAACTACCCAAGGTCTATGCAGAGGTGGAAAAATGTATTTCCCTTCCCACTTAATCTCTCAGGATCTGAAAAAAAGGAAGAGCACTGGCTGCCTGCTGGAGCTGGAAAATAACTGAGATGACTGTTTTTCAGTTCATTTACTTCATAACAGGGAAAACATAAGCAATTCTCGGCAGAAACAGCCTCTCTGCTCTGCTGCACTGGTGCCTGCACTTGAGCCAAGAGCTCAGACTTCCCTAGCAGACCTTTGCTAGATGGTGTTAATCATTGAGCACTTGGGCATTGCTCCTCACCTTCACTGATTTTACCTGGCTTCTCTAAAATGGAGAGAATTACTCAGAGTGACTTCTCTACTGCTCATGAAAGCGTATTTTACCCTCCTACATATACCCTCAGAGGGAAACCAAACATGAGTTCAACATCCATAACTTTTTTAAAGCAGCTACAACATTCTAAGTAGATGTAAAAGACCATCTTCCGAGTCTTCATCTGCCCTGTTATTTTTTGAATCCTTGGCATCTATGTACGGCACCTGACAGTCATTTGTCCAACACATATTTTTATTAAAGTCTTCATATGGGCCAGAACTGGAATCAGATTGATAAATAGTTTAAGCATGATACCTAACTACACAGAGCTTTTTGTCCAGCTCATAGTCTGAAACATAGTAATTGCTCAATGAATATTTGTTTGGTGAATGCACACAGGAACCCCAAAGCACTACTTCATAAAAGAAACTTGGAAAAATCCTGAATCACATATACTGTGGCAAACATAGAAAAGGACACCCGACGGGCCCTACAAGCCCATCTGGAGGTTTCATAAAGGTGTAACAGTATCCTGCAGAAGTTTTGCCCCCTCACTTTTTTACTCCTTCTGGGATGTAAGTCTGCATGCCTCTGAGGTTCCAGTTAACTTGGTCGTCACAAACCCAGCTGGTTCCAGGATTTCCAAGGTCTAAGAGGAGAACAGTAATTCACTCATAGACCATTATCTCCAAAAGTCTCCTCTGTAGTCTCAAGTGGATTTGAAATGACTCCTAGGTTAAATCTAGAGCCATCAGGGTTCTAGAGAGTTCTGAACCCATTTGGGATGGTAATAAAACGTTAAACAATTTAAAAATAAGTTACTCAAGTTAGTGGTCAGACACAAACAGATCTATAACTCTGCCTGCACATACAACAAGTTTGACGGAAAAAAAAAAAGGTAGTCAAACAAACATTAGACTATTTTTTAAAATTTTATGAAATTAAATGGTCTGTTCAATCAAAGTATACCCAGTGCCTATTTATTTCTAGTCCAAATATTTTAGTTTAAAAAGTAGAATTCAAGAGAAACACATTTCTGTGAGTAGTATACAATATGAAATGTTTCAAAATATAAACCATCTTCCCTACCCCATTCATATAGAACACACTTCTGAATTTTCCTCAGGCTGTGATATCCAATGAAAGTAATATTTAGTCGGTAGTTGTTTTCTGGCAGAGATAGCCAGAATAATTCTCTTGTGGCCATGGAGCAAAATAAGAATATTAAAGAAAATTTGTAGTCACTTTTAAGCAGTGGTCCTCAGCACAGAAAACACACTCTCCTCCTCCATGATCAGATACAATAGTTCATGTACTCCCTGGAGTATTATTTTATTTGCTCACTCATTCCTTTATTCATCTATTCATGCAGTGAATTCATAAGGATTCAGACACTGGATATACAATGTTTCTCTTCTAGTGACATTTCCAGTTTAGTTAAGGAGAAAGACAAATCATAGGTGGTCACACTTAGGAGTATAAAATTACAAATTACATTAAGTGTCATGAACGAAAGGAACAGATTTCTATTAGATCATGTGTGCTGGATGAACAAGGAGTCTGTCCTTCCAGGACTATGGAAGCCACGTTAAGGATTTGGGTTTTTATCTCGACACAAATAAGAATCTACTAACGCGTTTTATGCAAGAGTGACAAGATTGTACTTGTGTGTTGAAAAGATCACTCGGGCTGCTCTGAGTTAGAGAAGGGCAGAGTGAATGCTGGAAGATCCATTAGAAGATTTTGCTGTAGTTCAAGTGAGACATGATTAGAGTTTGGATAAGGATGGCGGTGATCGAGGATAGAGAACAAAACTATTGTATATATAGGTAATATATATATATATTTCAGAGAAGGAGAAGTGTGGGCTAGTGTTATGAGACATCAGGCTATAGATGATAATTAGGGCCATGGAAAGGTTAGAATGACCTAGGGAGAAAAATATGACTAGGAAAAGACCACTGAAAAGAAAGTAATGGCTATTTCAGCTTTCGTAAGGAGCATTTTATTGATGTGATTATTTGAGAATTATGATATTTTCTTTGTACTAATAGTTAAAGTAAATTGGAATGTTAAAATGAATTCGATTTCATAAAATATAGACAGCAGATTTAAATTGTTTTCAAAAAATCAGTAAAGGAATCTTAAAATGAGAAAATAAAATTTGGGCTTCTGTGAAGCTGAGGCCTCACACAAAAATTTGGGCTTTGCCTTAATTTTGATCCTACCTAATAAAGGACTATGAATATAAAAAGGCTATTTTGAAAACATAGGACTTTCTCTTAACCCACAATGGGGAGACTCCAAGTTAGAGAAAATAGGAATCAAAAGTTTTATTTCCTCATTTACCTTGAAATTTATGATTCAGTCCACTCTTAGTAGAATCATAATCATCAATCAGTCTTCGATTCTTGGTTGAATCAGCGTCTTCCACATTTAATTTATTATCATATGGGGAGCTTCTAATGGATTGTCTTTCTTTCTCAGTTTTTTCCTTTTCTGTTATTGCTTTTAGCAGGTTCAAGTTATCAACAAAGGAATAATTGCTTTCACCTGGCTTGTTTTCTGGAAGAAAAGCCCCCAAACCCAACACATCCATTTTAGTTAAGATTTTCATAACCTATGTTATTTAAATTATATCACCATAATTTCTTTTTACCTGGAGGGTATGTTTTTTTAATCTTGTCTGCTTCTGCTTCAGCAATCTGGGAAGTAAATTGGAGATAGAACTGGTTTTATTTTTTTTTTTATTTTTTTTTTTAATAATTTTATTTTTTATAAACATATATATATATATATTTTTCCCCCCAGGGGTACAGGTCTGTGAATCTCCACGTTTACAAACTTCACAGCACTCACCATAGCACATACCCTACCCAATGTAGAACTGGTTTTAAATCATTGCTCCAGCATTTACCAAATATGACAGCTAAATAATTTAATCTCTGTGGGATTTCATTTTCTTATTTGTAAAATGTAGATAATAATTTCTATTTCAAAGCATTGCCATGAGGATTAAATGAGATAAAAGAAAGGGCAGATGGTCTGCAAATATTAATTCCCTGCTCCTGTAATATTGGTGAAAGATAAATCTGATAAATTAAACAGCCTTAAAATAGAGTGGATGTGATATTGGATTTACTGGGTTATTATACAGTCAGTTCTATGTATTATACAGAATTCTATGTATGTAACTGTTAAGATGTATCATTTCCCAAAACATATTTTCCATCTTAATTTCTGCCAATTTATTATTAAGTTCCTGAAGTTTATGAATTCAAAATGGCTAAAATGTCACAGCTTAATTACATTAAATATAATAACTAAAATAAAATGAAATAACATTTATAATTTTACTTTTGACCTACCTGTTCATTCAAAGGTCTTTCTGCACTTAATTCTCTATTATGTAGGGGTTTTTCTAGAATAACCAAACACAAATATAAATTTTATTGTACAGTGGAAAGATACAATATGTATCTTACTACATAAAATCTCCAAAAAAGAAAAATAAATATTAGGAGAAATGGTTTTGGATGCCTGTGAACAAAAATATGTATTAACAAAGATAATCAAGATTATACAGTAACAATGATTATCAACGTTGCCTTGCTTATTATCTTGGTGCACTTCCTGAGTTAATAGAATTACACTTTTATTTTTCTGCCCAGAAATCTAACATTTAGTTCTAACACTTCTCTTACCAGCTGTTTCCAGCTAGATAGAGCATAATTTGGATTGGCATTACTGGTACGTTAAAAGCTCTTTTATCATATGCTGCACATATTATGAATAAAATATCCTAGTTGTAAGACAACTAGGGGGAAAAATGCCACTTTTTAAGGCGGAAAAAACCACCCCCTCGCCCAGTTTCAAAATAAGATATTTCAAAACAACCCATGTTATTACTCTATCACTCAAAAATTGTGTGTAGGGGTGGTGGCACCTGTCTTGTCTCTGAATTCGGACTGATTTCTCTATCAATATGCACGGATACGATCTGATCAGAAAAGAGGCAAGGTGATTTACAGTTCCGGGATTATGCCAAGCTTTACCTCTTCGCGGCGAAATAAAAGAGAGGTGGGAAGAAAAGTGCCCACGTACCTTGACTGCCTCCCGGCTTGGGAAAAGCTTGAATTGGGCTGCTTTGGAGCACCAACACCAGGATCCAAGTGCCCGTCCAAAGGAACCCCATTCTTCCACGCTTGGCTTCAGAAACAGCCTGGCGCCGGACTCCCAGAGCAGTGGCTTTTGTTATGAATGAAAAGGAGGAGTAAAAACAGGAAGAGCTAGGAGGGCGGGTGAGGGGAGGAAGAGTGGCAGGGACCCAGCGGCCGGGGGAGCTCCGCGCCGCTACTCAGTAAAGGGATTAGAAAGGCTCCGGGCGCTCCGGAGTCAGGTCCTCAGGTGGGGGAGAGCGCTGTCCGCCCCGTGGGTGCTGAAGTTCCTGTGACGCGAAGCCGGCCGTGGGTCGGTTAGGGCGTAGCCTTACTCTCTCTCCCTCCTTGAGAGGAAGTGAGAGGAAGGAAGCGCATGCTCTCTGAGAGCCAGAGGCGGTAAGGGATGGCGTCAGCGACTCCAATGCTACTCCAATCCCCCGAGAATGCAAGAGGGGAGGGGCGACCGGCAGGCTAGCGTGTTTTCCGTGCCGCAGTCTTTCGGGTGCTCCTGCGCTCAGGGTCACCTGGATTGCTATAAACTTGGAAGTCATTTTCGTAACGTCCCAACCAAATGTTACCTCAAGGACCAAATGCCTTCCCTGCCCTTGCACCTGTCAAGGAGAGCTAGATAACCTTGTATGAAGGTTTCTGTCTTGGAATAGTTCTGGGATATCTGTTCCAGAATCCCTTCTTTCTCCTCCACCCCCTTTAACCAAAAGGTAGATATAATACTTACATCCTTAGAAAAGCCATGCCTTTGTGATTTGGGTTGACATACAAAATGTCCCTCGTCTCTCAGTGCTCTTATTTCCGTCTTAATTCTATGCAGTCTTTTGAATTGGGAAATGCAAGGAATATTCTTTCACATATATTGCTGCTACACATTCTCACTCTCCTAGATGCTGAAGCAGAACTAAAAAAATTACTACCTGTTCCCCCAAGCGTGGATGTCCTCATCAGTCTGGGATAAGTAAGCATCAAGAGTCAGTTTCATTGTGAAACTCCCCCTTCCTCACTAAGAGGAAAGCTCCCTCTTCAGCACCAACAGCACCACAAAACAAACAAACAAACAAACCTGCATTTCCGTAAAATTCTTCCCCAGGATTCAATTATGCCTAAGGGTCTGGCTGTTCCAGAAGTCTTGGAAGAGAAGGGATCCTAACTAGGTCAGGAGGTGCTTCCCACATTCTGAGAATATTCCCCAAAGTCTAACACTATTGCATAAAAGAAGTTATCAAAAGACTTTTAAATAACGAAAACAAGCAACAGTAATGTCAGCAGGATGCTGAGTAAGCTCTTCAGTTTCTGATTTTTAAACAGAGCTTGGAGCCTTTCCTTCGTACTGTGGCATTCTGGGAACCCATCTGAATAATGACCAAATAGAAGGATTCAGCACAATCAGGCCTTTGATTTCTGCACCCTTGCTTTTCAAGGAGCAAGTTAGTCATTCGAGTACCTATAAACAAACAAACAAACTAACTAACAAACAGATCTCCCTTGTTCTAAAGGGTTTTGAGTTTGGAAGTCACTCAAATACTTCCCTTTAGAATCTGAAGAGTACTTTCACTCTAACAGCTATTTCAAAACAAATAGTTGTTTCTTGGCAGTGAAGTGATAACAGCATTATTATCCCAGTATACTGGTATACTGCATTAAAAAAATTGTCACAATTTAAGATCCCAGCTGGGTAAAGGATAAATTTCCTCATGACCCTCTTCTTTAAAACAGAGATAATGGAGGGAGGCCTATGTGGCTCAGCCAGTTAAGTGGTTGCCTTCAACTCAGGTCATGATCTCTTGGTCCTGGGATCAAGTCCTGCATTGGACTCCCTGCTCAGTGGGGAACCTGCTTCTCCCTCTGCCTGCTCTGCTTCCTCTGCCCGCCACTCCCCCTGGTTGTATGCTCTCTCTCTCCAATGTAAATAAATAAAAAAATCTTAAAAAAAAGATGACAGTCTCTGTTTCCTTCATAATGTCATTGTGGGGATCAAATGGTACATGTTTTGATCAAGTCATTTTGATGCTAAGAATATTTTGACATAGCCTAAAATATAAGTCATGAAATGTTTTCAGCACTTAAGAAACATTACTGAATATTATGTGATATAGCCTTTTGCCAATCCTGCACTCTATTCCTTACCTGATTTCTCAGTATCACACTATTTTTAAAATAATTACCTTCATTTTTAAGATTAAAATATAGTTGACATACAGTTTAAGTTAGTTTCAGGTGTACAACATAGTAATTTGACAACTCTATATATTACACTATGCTCACCACAAGTGTAGTTACCATTGATTATACTCCCTATGCTGTGCCTTTCATCCTGGTGACCTATTCACTTCATAACTAGAAGTGTGTACCTCCACTCCCCATCATCCATTCAGCCTCATTCTTTTATTTGTCCTGTTTCTGACTCACCTCTCTCCTCGTTATATGTTCGTGGTTGGGAGAGAGGCTCAGGGTAGAATGAAGGTAAGAGATGGCTACTAGCACATTGCATTGCTTGCCAAAAATTTTTAAAAATGTGTTTGACCTTTTTCTGCCATTTGGACTCAAGGTGACTGTGTTAAATGGACACTGAATCTAGGAATATGTTATGCTTCTGATCAAATGAGCTGTAGAACACTGAGTAAACTGTAAGGCATGAATTACTTTACATTCCTCAGTCTTATGGATATTTCTGGTGGACACAGTGTAGGTCTAAATGGAGTGATTCTAAGTTTCATTTATCCATTAGGAAATGTTTATGGAGCACTTGACGTGTAGCAGGTATTGAGATAATTGCTGGGTATATAAAGACAAATAAGACGGTCACTGCTAGTCTTATAGCCTAATAAAGAGAAAGGATGACAATAAATACAACTATTTACTGAGTAGTTTTCATGTCCTATACATTGACCTCATTTAAATATAAGTAAACAAACAAGCACAGAATTGTGTTATAGGTCCTCTCTTTTATGTGCAGAGTTCAGGTGGGGTGCAAATAATGGAATGAATGGTCAGGCAAGGTTTCAAAGAGAAAATATCTCTTTTCTTAATAATAAAAAGATTAAAATATTTTATTATTCTGTATACATACACTATAAACATTGAATAGTGGGGGCACCTGGGTGGCTCCGTCAGTTAAGCAGCTGTCTTTGGCTCAGGTCATGATCCCTGGGTCCTGCTCCTACTGAGCAGGGGGCCTGCTTCTCCCTCTGCCTGCTTGTGTTCTGTCTCTCTCTGTCAAATAAATAAAATCTTTTTAAAAAGTTGAATAGTGTCAAAAATACATGTTGAAATTACAAGTGTCATTGACACAGATGATCATAAAATAGACAACATACAATGAACAGGTAATTTGTAAGTACTTCTTGTATATAGGTGAACACACACATGGATTGCTTGTCATGTTCTCATTCACTGGTGAAGAAAATGCCTTTTGAGCTGAGTCTTGGAGATAGAGATATTTGAAGGATGTTTTTAACCATTATTGAAAAAATTATTCTATTTAATTATTGCATATTTTATGATAGGAAATTTCAAACAAACACAAAAGTAGAGAAAATACTGAAATTAACACCCATGTGTTCATTACCCAACTTTATTGGTCATTAGCTTATGACTACTCTTTTTATTTTATATTCCCAACCACTTGGCATCCCCAATGGATTATTTACCTATAAAAATCCCAGACTTCATATCATTTCATCCATAATTACGTCAGTATGTTTACCTAAGAGATAAGGATTCTTTTTTCCTAACATTACTGTCATACCTTTAGCATACGTCATAATAATAATAATAATACCTTTGTATCATCAAATATGCAATCAGAATTCAAACTTCCGCACTTGCTTATAAATATTTTGACAGTTGGTTTGCTTGGACCAGGATCTAAACAAGGCCATGCATTGCATTTGGTTAGCATGTGAGAGACACATACAAATATAAGATTGGAAAGATACATTTTGCCAGGTTTTCTTTGAGTTTCCCAGACAAGTCAGTTTCTTCCTTAGAATATTGTGCACACTTTTAATGTAACATGTAGACAATTGTGCTGCTTTTGAACATGCTTCTTTTTCCTTATTCCAAAAGTAATAAATACACATCAAAGGAAAATTCTGAAAATACAGATAAGCAAAAAGGGGGGAAAATCTGATTGAGATAACCACCAACTTTTGGCATATGTGCTTTTGGTGTCTGTTTTTTTTTTCCTAAGAAAATATTTTATATGTATCTTAATAAAATTGTATATCATAGTCTAATTATCTGCTTATATAATTTATCCCACTAGCTATTTATCCCACTAAACTATGAGATCCTCAAAGGAAAGGATCTTGTCTTACTTCTCTTTCTTTCTCAACCATCCTTACAGCATCTGGAAATCCATTTGCTTAAATGGATGAATAAAATGATAAGGATTACCAGTTCACCTTCAGTTGTTTTTTTTTTTTAAAGATTTTATTTATTTATTTGACAGAGAAAGATCACAAGTAGACAGAGCAGCAGGCAGAGAGGGGGGAAGCAGGCTCCCTGCTGAGCAGAGAGCCCGATGAGGGGCTCCATCCCAGGACCCCGAAGGCAGAGGCTTAACCCACTGAGCCACCCAGGTGCCCCTCGTCTTCAGTCTTTAAATGCTGAAACTATGATGGTTGTTCCACATTGGAAAATTATATAGTCTTACAGTGCCAGGAGCTGCCAGTACCTTAAAGAGCTGTTAGCCCCTCTATCAGTATGAATCTCCACTCGGCACTTTTTTTTTTTTTAACACAAAAGAGTAGCCTGGCAGAAGAGGTGCTCACGAAAGGCCTAAGAATAGTGAGGCAGAGCTGGCAAAGGCCCTCACAGCTATAGAATTATAGGAATGAATCTGTTGCAGTTAAAGAGAGACTGACACAGGACACCAGCAACTAGAGATAGCTGTTGTTATAGCTCAGCAGAGAAGTAGATGTGAATCTGGAAATTCACTATCAGAGGAAAGTTGAAGTAACTAAGGATAGCGACACCTGGGTGGCTCTGTAGTTAAGCCTCTGCCTTGTGGCTCAGGTCATGGTCCTCAGGTCATGATCCTAGGATCCTGGGATGGAGCCCCACACAGAGCCCCGCATGGGGCTCCCTGGTCCACAGGAAGCCTGCTTCTCCCTCTCCTACTCCCCCTGCTTGTGTTCCCTCTCTTGCTGTCTCTCTCTCTCTGTGTCAAATAAATAAATAAATAAATAAATAAAATCTTTAAAAAAAATAACCAAAGTAATGAAAATGAGCAAATAAAAAGACTAAAATAATCAAGGAAAATGAAGCCATGGAAATGAAAAAAAAAAAGTATACAAAGAAAGTGGGCCCAAGTGACAAGATCTTATAAGTCACCTAACGAGTGGGTAGTGTCAGGATTGAATCTGAGAGTGGGAAGGAAAAGGTAGCTAGCTGAATGGTGGACTATTCTTGTTGGTCACCCACCTTGGTACTGTGGTTGGACCAGATTGGGTCAATCACCTGCTCAAGGGGCCATGGAAGGAAGGTGTGAGATGTTACAGAGGACTCCCTCCAGAACTATGAGGGCAGAGCAGTTTCCCAGAAGGATTCAGGGTGAGAGTATAAGACAAACACTACTCACTATATTGTGGAATATAGCATTTAATATGGATTAAACAGCATTGAGTGAAAAATATGATTAGCAGTATGATTCCTATTATAAAAATTGTGCATAAGTATGTTATATGTGTATGCACACATAGAGAGTTATCTGAAAAATTTATTTCCTACAATATTTACAGTGGTTTTCACGTAAGAGTTTTTTCTTTTTTAATTAGGGAATTCTGAATTCCTTGAATTTCAACATAAGTATGTATTGGTTTTACAATTAGAAAAAAAAAACCTAATGCAATCTATGTAACTAATGGATTACATACTGTATACTATATACTTCATGATATTTCAGATAATTGTAATGAATTTTTTTTAGGATAGAAGACTAAATTGTGATAAGATCAGCTGAGAGAAAATTAAAATCTGGTTGGAGGTTTTTT